ATAGGGTAGCATTCGGGGTGAAGATCTATCATCTAATAATGAATTTTCAGTGAGGATTAAAGAGGTAGAAGATGTGTTTTCCATGCCAAAATCAGAAGAAGACTTGTTGACTGTCGATCACGCGACATGTTGAACATCCGAATTTGGAAATTTTTGGACTTGTTAACTTTTCCGTTACACCACGTCCAGCTTCATCTCTCCCTTCCCCTCCTCTGGCGCGCAATGTCTTCACGATTGGGTATGTGTCTGGCCAGCACAAATCCTTTTATGATGACATCGACGTGGCTTATCGCCGTCGTTAGGTTTGATTCCAGAAGCAGCAGCCCGCCTCACCCAAGCCCCGCCACTCCCGTCGCATCACAAGCCCATGGTGGTTTCAGCTACCAGCAAAGTACACACCACGCCACTCAGGTCGCTTCGCCCTTCCGAAATGAAAGTCGCACAGGCGAATGACCAGCGTGCACTGCACAGATCCCGTTCCTGGCCTCACCGCTTGAGGCTGTCCCAGAGTCGGACAACGAGGAAGAGAAACTGACTATTGCTTACGTTTTGTAAGTTTCTCCTCTCTTCTTACTGAAGGAGGACTGATAGTTCATGCATAGCCCTCCGTAGGGTTTTGCACGACCGCATCTACAACTACGCTCAGCACTGACCGACCTCGCACCCTTAGACCCCGAGCATGAAGCCTTCTCCCCTGATCCGAACCCGGGGACGCGCATCATGGTGGAGGTGCGGGATATGGATGGGGTGTCGTCGCTTGGTTGTTTGTGTTCCCCTCATCTGTGAGTACGCATTCGCCTGACTCTGGCCATTCTTCGTGTTATTCATTTCCAAGTACAAGGGCCTCCTGCACGTCAAAACTTCAACTTGGCGCAGCTTCAGCTTTCTCACTGTATTGAAGGTGCTCCTGACCTTGGTGATGATGGACGACGTCTCTTCGCATCTGGACAAGGCGGCCTGGTGGGTGTTTTTTTACCACTCGGCTCTACCCGCGACACGTCAAGCCTGCACCGTCTGGCTCAAAAAGCACGTTCGCAATGCCTACTCACTCGAAACGAGCAGACGAGCAGATGCCGTGGAATGCCTTGGCAACTACTAGACGATGACTCGTCCTGAGTGCGTCCTTCCTTCCTCTCCCCCCTTCCTTTCTAACTCTCGATATCCATCCAGCTGAACAACTCCGCGCAACGTCGAATCTGAATTACACAACTCCCCAATCGCAGCACAGCAAGCACGGCGGGACTATGGTCGAGCTTTGCAGTGGGTCGGCGAGACTGTTGCGGCAATGGTTCCCCAGGCCACAACCCCTTCCAGCGAGTCTGATTTCGAGTTAGTGAGGACATATTAGAGGGTTAGCGTCATTCTAGTAGTAATTACTACCATTGTTTCTGTCAAATATCAGAAATCTATTCACTTTTGCCCGCTTTTAAGCCCCTTTTAAGTCACCTTTTGAAAGCTGCACCTCTTTCATGGTCCCCTTTTGAACCACTTGCAGCCCCTTTTGTCCCTTTTGAAAGCGGAAATCCCATTTCAAACAATATGGCCTGGGCTTCCAAAAGCGGAAACGCTTTCATGCTTTCACGCTTTCAAAAGCGGTGAAAGCGGCTAAAGCCGGACTTGTAATTTTACTGATGCTGGACGTGAGTCAGAGCCTTCCTGGACCATCTACGCAGAGCGTTCCCGGACTACCTCCAGTAGGGCGAACACAAACAATTGTGCGGCCTCAACTCCCTGCGCGGCAGCCGCGACTCCATGATTTGCTTGCCCCACAACCATATACGCAATCCAGCGGCGTTAAGTTTTCAGAACATCCCGTGCCCGCACAAGCTCAGCGACCAATTTTGCAACCACGACCTGTATACGCCTGGCATTTACAACCTCAAGACTCGCATGCCTCACAGGCATATACATGGCGCAGTGGTGTTAAACATTCCGTGCCCTCACCAATTGTGCCCCGACCTGCAGCCGCCCCGTTGCAACTCCAATATTTGCGTGCCTCACAAGCATATACACGACTCAGCAGAGTTGAAGTTTCAAAACATCCCGTGCATGCTCAAGCTCAGCTTCCGCGACATTCACCTGGTCCATCACAAATGATACGGTCAAGTTTGATTACACAATCATTGCGCGTCCCACCACCTCGCCAGTTACGACCTTACTTTGACGCGTTGTACAGCGACGAGGAAGGTTATGTAAGTGACAGTGAAAGAGGGTGGCCTCGTCAGGAGGAGACACTAAGTCGACGAGTTACAGCAAGACGGAGGTTATTTGACAGGAGGAAGAAAAGAAAGCAGCTGGAAAAGGAGGAGAAGTTGAGAACGAAAGCGGAGGGAGGCGATTACGGGACAGATGAGGCCGACGACGAGAAGGAGGAGAGGCGTGGAAGGGGCAGGAAGAGGAAGAGACCGGGAAGAAGGGAGGGTGGCTCAAAGAGAAAACAGGCGGAAGACACGAGACAAGGTTTCCAGGACTGGAATTCAAGTGGTTCGTATTCTCAACAAAGAAATTCCTTCCCTTCCTGAAGTCTTCTGACCCTCACTTTTGCAGATTGCTTCGGCCACATTTACTGCGACGGCCTATCGACGACCAATCCCATATCTGCTGCTCTGCTGCAGCGTGCGCCACTCCCAGATGACTCTGTCCCTCATTCCGAAAGCATTCAAGAACGCCTATGTCGACTTGATAAAATGGACCTGTCCGAGTCCCGCATTTTGCTTCTCGAAAAGATTCATCAAGAAATGTGGGCCGAGTTGCCAACCATCAGGTTGATCAAGTGGGATGACCTCCCGTGGCCAGTATTTGTTCGGACGACTTGCCCAAAGGATTTGATGTTTTACCGAATCGTTTCATATTCGTTACAGGTTTCGAGCGGAATGGATATCAAGGAAGCGCTCGTGAATTCTAACCGGCTGCAGTGGGCTCAACAACGTCTTCGAATTCTTCTCGGATGCTGGGGACAACCTGGTTTGCAAAAGAAACTTAAAAACTCTCCAGACAAGACTATGATACAAGGTGTAAATACTGTTACGAATCATCTCGAAAACGTTCTCGATTTTGTGAACATGCATCAAATCGACGAAACGCATCATACGGATTTGACTGCAATCATTTCTCAAACGTTTCTCAAACACTTTGGTGAAAATCTGGCTAGGATTCTTACAGACACATCAGACAACTCTGGTTATAAGTCTCTGCTCAGGTTAGAGGGCGATAGTGCTCAGAAGATGCTGAATTTTCTGCAAACGGTACGTCATGTGCCAACTGCTTAGTATCATCACGAATCTCATTACTTCCAAGCTGCTTGATTGTTCGGAGCTAGTTTCTTTGCCGAGGAACGATATTCTAGGAGCCCTTCTGCGACTTTCAAAATTATCGAAGTTGTATCCTGAATGCTTGACTATAACGGATCTTGAACGGAACAACGACGTGTTAGACTCGGGACGCTTTGGTGAGATCTATAAAGGTCGTTCCCGCAACCAGGTCATTTGCTTGAAAGTTATCAAAGTAACTCGGAAGACACAAATCAAGCATCTACTGAAAGTAAGTCTGTTTAATTCCTTCAATAATTGCAAATCTCTTACTTATATCATAGGCTTTTTTTAAAGAGGCCCTACTCTGGGGGCATTTGTCGCATCCAAATATCCTCCCTTTCTACGGAATTTATCATCTAGAAGATGCACATGGAAGAATCTCCTTCGTATCTCCATGGATGGAAAATGGAAACATAACTGAGTATCTCAAGAGACATCCCCTCGCGAACCGTTTACTTCTGGTAAGACCTCAACTCTTCTTGGTTTTATGTAAAAACCAAGTGACCACTTTGTTAGATATGGGATATCATATTAGGGATTCAATTCCTCCATCAGAATCAAGTCATACACGGGGATCTCAAAGGGGTAAGACCTTTTCCATTACTAGTATTTGTTCGACGTTTCCTAATAATTGATTCCTTCCAGCTCAATGTACTTGTGAATCGTAGTGGACGCAGTTGTCTCGCTGACTTCGGATTGGCCAACCTGGTTGACGAAGATATCCTCCGTTGGACTTCAATTCAGAGTACAGGACATCAGAGCGGTGGGACATTGCGATGGCAGGCACCAGAGTTGATTAACCCACCTTCTGACGAATCGGCCAAGGCGACGCCAGCCAGTGATATTTATTCTTTCGCATGCGTCTGTTATGAAGTAAGCGATGTCGGCATCTTAAAGACCGGATTGTAGAAGGTACTGATCACTTATGAAGATTTATACAGGACATCTTCCTTTCCATAAGTTCCCCCGCGACTGTACCGTCATGATGAAAGTGCTTGAAGGCTCTCGGCCACCTCGTCCAGCCGACACAAGCACCTTGTCTGACGAAATTTGGAAGTTGATCGAAATGTGTTGGAATCAAGAACCTCAAGACCGTCCCAGTGCGGAATTGGTTATAGAACAACTTCCTCTTGCAGGCATTGTGGATGATAGGCCAAGTGGTGGTGACCACTTGGCTCCCCCCGACTTTCGCGCCGGTGGCCCCAAAAACTTGGGTGTGGTATTCAATCCAGCAGTTGATATCATCCTCTCTTCTGTTCTCAGGTCTACTCCGACAAATGAAGTTGAACCGCATGCTATATAATCGTAGAATTTGATGGATGGATTCTATATTCGTCTAGCTCTTACTTACACCTCATTTACTCGCGGCAAGGTCACATTCATTGTGCATTCCCACCAATCCTGGTGACATTGGATTTATTCAAGAGCAAAGCGCGAACTTGAACGCGCAAACTCGGCCTGGATAGACACCCCCCCCCCCTGCCGTTCGAGTCGCTAGGAAACTTGGACATCTCCTTCAAAAGTTCCTGAATCACGGTGGAGGGCGAAATTTTCTGAAACCGCGTTGGATCTGTGTAGTGATTTGTGGTCAGAGGGAGATCCAGAAGGCCACTTTCAGTGTCTACTTTTCCATACGAGGCCATTTTCGCAGAGGATTTCAAGTCCTTGTAGGGCACAATTTAAAGAATGTCTCAGGTAGCCGACCTGTAGCTACGTAAGTAATATGATTCACAAAGAGGAAAATACAAGCAAACCTTAATAACACCCCTCACGACCCTCAAATACACCTTTCCCCTCCTCCCCCTCCGCGTTATTCCCAAATTCCGCCTCACAACAACCCGCGCCTTGCGCCACCACCCTCCCCATACCCCTTCTTCCGGTCCTAACACCTCAGTGGGGGAGGGTAAACCCAGTAATCGCGTTCTTTCCGTTGCTGCTGACGCCGCTTCATCGACGTCGACCACTTTGTCTGCTGACCCTGATCGCGAGCGTGAGCGTACGCGGACGAGAGAGGATGGTGCCCCGTTGTGATGCTGGGGCATTTCTCGGAGGGGGTCAAGCTGCAATAGCGTCAGCCGACGGGAAAAGAAGAAAGAAGCTGAGGAAACCCACTTTGCCTTCCCGAATGGCACCAGCTACCCTTTCACAGGATGGTCTAGCCGCCGGGATTTTATTCAACAAACTCTCAAGAAGCACGAGGAACGTCCGTGGTAATCGCCGAGCTTCAAAGGCTGCCACTAGCCCTGGGGCGGTTTTGAATCTACCCATGGAGATATTAGTTTTATATGGTGTAGCGAAAAAGGAGTAGAAGAAAAAGTAAACTCACCCAGGGTACTCCAACACCTCTCTCTCAAGTTTATCCATCTTCTCCCCCTCACCAGCCCTCGAGCCACCCGTGACGGCCTCCCCGTTCGCGTCTCCCTCCGCTGCATACCTGTTTCATTTAGGTCTCATCAACACCAAGACCCATAACGCAGCCCAGCGGAGAAAAAACCACCCACCGATAAGGCAGCTTGAAAAAAAGCAGCTTATGCAAAATCATACCCAGACTCCACATATCCGACTTTGAGTCAATCTGCTGCAAGAGCCCCGTGTGTGGGGAGGGCAGAGATTCCGGGGATGTATATTCCAGTCTGAGTTTCGTGTCAGCATCATTATATATTACGGAAGTTGACAACAGTGGACAAGACAGGATGATGATAAAAGAAAGCACTCACGTCCCAGTATTCCCGGAGCGCTGTAGCCTTGTAGAGTTGATCATATCGCGAGAAGTTCCAAAGTCCGAGAGCATAGCGCGGGGTCTAATCGTGTACTCATCAGCATTCATCACGTCGTCCTTCAGAAAAGAAATACATCAATTTCCCTTCATCCCAAGTAAGCAACACGTTCCCCGGCTTCAGGTCAAGGTGTAATATCGATTTGTCGTGCTTCATGAGATTAAAGCAAATATCAGCTGTTCTCTTCACAAACAGCAAAGGAAGAACTCACCAAGAACCCCAACCCCGCCACAACATCCTTAAAAAGCCCTTTGACCTCATCAGCACTAAGCAAATGGACAGCCGTCCACTCTCCGTTCCTCTTCCTTGTCTCCCTCTCCCTTTGCCTCTCGCCCTCCGCGCCGCCCGCGCGCTGAAAAGCCCGGAAGGCTCGTATCCTAGCAGACCTCGAATGGAGATCGGAAGCAGAGAGCGTATGCGCTGGAGTCCCGCTTCTCCTTAGGGGTGGAGGGGCCGGTGTGCCTAGTTCGTAGTCTGCGTCGGTGGAACCTGGGGCGTGGAAGTGGATGTGGGAGGGTTTACGCCCGAGTCGAATGTCGATGAAGTCGTCGAGGCTGCCGCCTTCTGCCCACTGCATTAGCACGCTGTTTAGGGAGATAGTGTGAGTAAGTTGAGAGGAGGCGAATGGAAGAAAGGAGACGTACTGCAGTGTGGTAC